TGATTGACAGATGACCGTAGATATATGATTGGCCGAATGTAGGTGTTCAGGCTGATGTAGAACTAACTGGCCTGCAGAAGATAACTGGAAAACCCCACAGAATTTAAGACAGGATTTTTTTTTTATTATTTGAAATTTTCCAACTTTTGGGACAATCGGGTCTGATAAAGAATACATTTATATACATGTTTAAGCCGGAATGATTTGACATTTAAATAGGATTTCCCTACAACTTTAAATATTATTAAGACACAGATTTTATAAAATGTCTAACGTTTATTTGTTGTTTTTTTTCTAGAAATTCTTTATTTTTTTTTAATGCTGGTTCTGATACCTAACCTGCTCCAGAATCAATCCAGCAGGTTTCTGATTAAAATGGTTCCAATTCCGCCAGAGGGAGGCGCTGTGATGCTGCCGAGGAGCCGCTGAGCCAGCGGGGAGTCCGGGGGGGAGGAGGAGGAGGAGTAACCGGACACCGACCCCCCAGAGCTGCTGCTGGCTGCTCAGAGTGGAGCAGAGCCCGGCGGCAGCAGCAGTAGCGGGGCGGTCACCTAGTTCACCCCGCAGACAGAGAGCGGAGGCGCGGCGGAGCAGAGCAGGAGGCTCCGGTCCTCCCTGCCGAACTTTCCCCGGCTTTGAACCTCTTTCAGCGGCTGCTGCCGCTCCACAGAGCTGCGTGGACGAATAACGGAGTTCTGCGAAAGTGGGAGAAGTTCCGTCCTAAGCAGCCTGACAGCCGCCGAGATGAAGAAGAACAGCTCCGGGAAACGGGTGAGTTCTGATGGAACCGGTACCGGCTACTTTTCTGCCGAATTTAACCGAACTTTGAGGAACAAAAGCCCCGGGATTAGGATAAGCTTTTATTCTGAAGGCAAATAAGCCGTTATTTATTGCAGACTACGCTTCCGTTTTTCAGAATAAAGGTATAATTTGTTATTGTGGAATTTGATGCGGTCAGAATCCGACAAGTTCAGTTTTAAAGTTTATGAGTTATCAAAAGGAACAAAAATCTGGAAAATATAGAGGTGTTGAGTTCTTGTAAAAGATGCATCGTTAAAATCTGGCAATTCGGAGAGGAAGCGGCGAACCCGAACAGAGTGACAGTTAATCTGCCAATAGCTCAACGGTTCAAGTTACAGACATTCACCGAGCCAACATCTGACACCTAAAGGCATCACACTCCACCTTCATCTAACTATCTAGATCCTGAACTCACCGATACTGATAGCGATTTGGATCCTGAACTCATCACAGAAAGGTTGAAATGATCAGTATTGTCTAGAAATGAAAAACAAAACAAAGAAAACAAAACAAAACAAGGACCATAAACACACAACAAAACAAGGTAAAACTAAAAATCAGAAAAGTCAACTTAGCTCACATCAATAAAAAAAAACTACCAGAAACCCGAACACGCCAGATCAATTAAAACTACACGCAGGTCCCTGAACACACCGCAGCCAGTTCAATTACCACTCAGAATTCTAAATTCTCCTCTGACGGGTTAGAAACAACAGTAAGAACTATAAACACACAACAGACCGGTAATAACTATCACCCATGGTCATAAACTCACCACAGTTTATGATCATTAGGGTCCTGAATGCACCACAGACCAGTTCGAATTAGCAGTCTGTCTTTTACTGGTCTTTGAACTCACCAAAGATTAATCAAACTAATAATCATGATCCTGAACTCACCTCAGATCAATTAAAACGAAAAAAAAATAGGACCCTGAATGCACCACAGGCCAGGTGGAATTAACAATCAGTCTTTTACTGGTCTTTGAACTCAGCCAAAGTTTAGTAAAAATTAATAATCACGATCTTGAACTCTTTTCAGATCAGTTCTGAAAATTAGGACCCTGAATGCACCACAGATTAGATTATAAGACATTAATTTAAACCCTTCCTGAGGCTTGGTGGTGGATCCTACCTCGTCACATGGTTGGTCCAGCTTACTGACAGCTTCCTGTTTCCTGCATCAGGGCCCGGCGGACTCGGCGCAGCAGAACTCTCCACCAGACAAAGCGGGCTGGATCAAAAAGTTCAGTGGGAAGGGGATCTTCAGGGAGATCTGGAAGAACCGCTTCGTGGTTCTTAAAGGAGACCAGCTGTTTATCTGCGAGAAGGAGGTGAGTCAGCAGGGGGCGGGGCTTGCAGGTGAGTGACACCTGTCACCACCAGGGGCTTAAGCATCACCATGATAACCTGCTGTACCTGGGGACCGGCATGTGACAGGACAGATGGTGTTGTCATGGAGACAGAAATCACCCATGATGTCATCGCTGACCTGAATCAGTGCGGCCGATTTAAAGGGACGGAGCAGCTTTTTGTTTTTTGTGAGAATCTGAAGTTTTAAACATCTCCTGGTTTTTGACCCAACATTCAATCTTTGAGAACAACGTTCCGCTCTGAGTGAGAGAACCTGAAGGTTCTCCAAACCTCTTCCTGTAGAATCTGAGGTTCCTCTTGGTGTTGGTTTGGTTCCATCTGGAATCTCCAGCTTTCTGCTGTTGATGTTCTGCAGGAGTCACGTTTCAGGCCCAACAGGCGGACACATGGCAGCTCAGGTTACACTGCCACCACGCGGGGTGGAACCTCCTCACAGAACCTTTAACAGAGATAGAATGTGCTCATAGAACTTCTATCACCTGTAGAATGCTCTCATAGAAGCTGTAAACCAGACGACTGCATGCTGGAACCGTTATGGGACACAAATCCTTTACAGAACATGTGTTTACATCCAGCACTGAGGAGAATAAAGCCCCTCTTAGAGACGCTTCTGGTTCTTTTCAGATTAGACTGATTCTCACAGTGTTGACGGCTCTGTGGGAACCTTGAGTCTCAGTTGGTTCTTTTTTCTTTTTCTTTTTTTGTTGCCTTTATCAGCCAGAACCTGAGAGGAACCGATTTTTAGTTTGGTTCCTCTTTTTGAACGGCCCCATGTTGGTCACATGACCCGTGGAAGCTTCCTGACAGCCGCCTCAGCACCTTATTAGGCCATCGGCGGTTGGTTTAGTACGTTTCCATGGAGACCAGAGAGGGTGATGTTCCTCTTCTTAGCAGCTAGTCTTCCGGTCCGATCCGAAATAACCTCAGAGGAACCACAGAGGAACAGAAAGTCCCAGTCTGGTTAACATGACAAGGTCTGACTTCCAGCCGCAGGCCGCCTCTCTCCGTCTGCCGGACCCTCAGAAACACCGAACCGGTTCCACCAGGTGATCCACAGAACATCAGTGGGTCGTTCTCCAGAGTTCCTTAGATGTTTTCACTCCGATTGGTGGGAAACTGAACCACTGAACCACAGGAGGTGCTGAAGGCAGATTACTGTCTCTGTGAGGACCTTCTGGTTGGTCCATCTGCTGGTTCTGACCTGGTCTCAGAGCTCGGCCCTCCTGTCAGCCATTACTGTGTTTCCTTCTAAATGAGGCCACTGACTGAGTTTGGGGGGGTCTCCATAGTAACCACAGGAACACCCCCCCCTTCCCATTGTGGTAACCAATGGCAACCAGCAGGCCCTCAGCGATGAGGACGGGCGGAACGCCGTCTGAGACATTATTCTGATTAAAAGGAAATTTGTTTCTCAAATCAGCTCCTCTGAGTTTCCTCAGATATTTGCAAACGATCTGAGAAGATCCGGTTGGGTTCCACAGCTTAGAGGTCACCGTGACCCTGTGGAACCAGGCCGCAAAGGTTCGGTCCAACAGATCGATCCAGCTCCAGATCAGATCCGGCTCCAGATCGGGTCAGATGTCACCCGATACGCAGCAGAACATGTCTGGGTTCAATTCGCCCTCATATGAAAATCATGTCTGACACAGAAGATTAGCAAGGATTAGCATATCACGCTCCATCAGCCCAACAGATGGGCTTTGACCGGGCCTGTCCTCTGATTGGCCGCTGCACCTGTCAGCCCAGCAGAGCAGCTTTAATGTCCCGGTTCAGCCTTGATCTCCAACTAAGTGAAACAGGAACCCTGAAGAACCTCTTCAGCGGGTCGGTTTGGATCACAGCCCGGTGGCGTGCCTTGGTTCTACACCCAGAACCTTCTGTGTGAGGGACAGCCAGAGGTCAGCCGGCTCGTTATGCAACCGTTCTGGGACAGAGAATCGATTATGGATTGATGATGTAAGTGGGAACATTGGAGGGAACAGTCAGCACTGCCTGAGGACCCAGACAGACCCAGAGAGGACCAGCTGGACCGATGGAGGTTCTGTTCAGCAGCTGTAGCCCGTTTGTCACCATGGTTCGGTTCTGGTTTGATGTCGGAGCAGAACTTCCACAAAATGAGATTAAAACCGTTCACAGAATAAAACTCCTTCCTGAAACACTGAACAGAACCCAACAGAACACAGGATCCAGAACACTGATCTCTCTTCACTGGATTGCTGATTGCCAGTTGGTAGTACGGGGTTGAAATGAAGCCACTGGCCGCCATATTGGTACTCCCTAGTTAGACTGGTCCCAATGTAAACAATATGTGCGCTACAGCATCGAACGGCGATGATGATCTCTTTTTCAGGGAGACTTAAGACTTTTAAAATAAAAATGAATTCATCACATACACACACACATATATATTTATATATACACATATGTACACACATATAGATATATATGTGAAATGTCAATTTAGTAATTCTTTATTAAATGGATGATGCTGTCGTTTTCGTAGAGTTTGCTGTATTTCTCAATTGGAAAAATTAATGTGCTAAAACATATTGCACGTTATATTGATGGAAAAAAACATTTTATATATATTATATATATATATATATATATATATATATATGGGGCCTCTCCCCCAGGAAGTCTCAGTTTAACGCTGCTTAATAATGGATGCGGTTTCCATAGAGATGGACGACCTGAGGTGAAGCTGCAGGACTGTGTTCTCTGATGCCTCGAACAGGTTCTGGTCTAAATACTTTCCTCCTACCAGGTTTGACATTCTTTAGTAGATGTGCTGCTGTTTGGGTCACGGTTCTGTTTGGGTCACGGTTCTGTTTGGGTCACGGTTCTGTTTGGGTCACGGTTCTGTTTGGGTCACGGTTCTGTTTGGGTCATGGTTCTGTTTGGGTCACGGTTCTGTTTGGGTCATGGTTCTGTTTGGGTCATGGTTCTGTTTGGGTCATGGTTCTGTTTGGGTCACGGTTCTGTTTGGGTCATGGTTCTTGTCATGGTCCGGTTCAGACCAAGCTTCAGCTCTTGGACGCTGGATTTACAGTTGATTCTAGAATACTACAGAGGAGATCATGATGCTGTAAGAGGCCCAGGTCCTGTCACTGCAAAGAAAGCCCAGATCATCAATCCTCCGCCACCATGCTTCACAGGTTGATGAGGTGCTGGTATTCTCCAGACATGGAGCTGATCCTAATGGTCAAACTTCTCTGGTCTCATCCATCCAGCAGTCATTGATTATTGAATGATGTCTGGAAACACCTTGATGACACGACTGAATTGGACCCGAACTCGAATCGATGCTATTGAACGTCAGCAGCGTCAGTTACCTGCATCTCCTGTGTGTCTCCAGGTTAAGGAGCTGGGTCGGGCCGATGAAGTCCTGGACCTGTCCGACTACGAACGCTGTGAAGAGATCAGGAAGAACAAGAGCCGCAGCAAAAAGAACCACAGCAAGTTCAGACTGCAGCGCTGCAGCTCGCCCGGCAACACGGTACGCACCAGTACGCCGTCCAGTACACGGGCCAGTACACACAGTATACACACAGAAACAGGCCTGTATTATTATAGAGTTAAATACACATCAGGTCATCCAGTGTTAAATGACATGTTATTAGTTTCCAGTTTTAGTTCGGGGAACTCTGCAAACATTTAGAAAAAGAAATGAACTGAAACCAGCTGCGGTTATTTAAAAGAAACACGTCACCCAAAGTGAAGTTGTGGTTCAAATGTCTCTTTAATCCCTTAAACGCTTTTTATTGTCGCTTTAGTTAATAAATGATAGAAGAGCCGCTGAAGAGTTTAACAGCCGATTATTTCCTTTCCTTTTAATGCGTTTAACTGGATCCATAAACAGGAAAAGTTGAAGTAACATTTAACTGCCTAAAAGTGAGAAAAACAATCATTTTTCTTTCATTAGAAATGAAAAATTTAAATATTTACCAACTGAACTTGGAGAAAAAGTTAATGATTAAAACATGAATAAACTAAAAAATGTAAAAAAACTTTTTATATAAAATTGTTGGATTTTATATTCTTGTTTTTTGTAGTTTTTAACTACAAACAAATGTTTATATTTACATTCAGCTGCCACTGCAGATATAAATGGTGCCGATAATTCAGGAATTCTCACCTAAGGTTAAACATTCTATCTCAAAACTAAA